CCCTTTGCAGAACCCCATCAAGCAACACAACTGTTGCTATTTTTTTCGGCGTAGAGCACACAAATGGGCCCCAGTTCATGTCGAATGCTAATGCAGCATTCGAATCCAATAGGTGCCGAGCCGAGTTCACAGTGATGGCGGGCATAACATTCTTGTCGAACAAACGGCCAAAGTATGAAAGCCTGGGGTAATTAGAGTAGTAGCTACTGTAATTTGTTTCATCCCAATTTGGGAAACGGCAAAGGTTACACTCTCGGTGAGCCAATATGCACATTGGAGAGAGGCACATGACATGTGTTTCAGAGTGCTCGTCTGCACAGATTTGTCACACACCTTCGCTCTGTCTCTCTGATTGGTTCGAGGGGGCTGTGGTGGTTGCCCTGTTCCAGGTTACAATGATACGAAGTATAGGCAACCCACACTTTTCAAAAAAGTCTATTGAAGAGACCGAAAGGAATGGTCAACATTTTTCAACAAGACTGCTCTTCAGGCAAGGGGTGAACACAAATATGAATCATCTTATCCAGGTAATTAGAACAAGTAAATAATTGACCGACTAATACAATGCACTCTTGACGAAAAAAAGTATTGCTTCAATAAATCCTACGAAAGAGAAAAAGCTGCAGTTAATCTATGCATACACCAAAACAGTTGTTCTTATTGCAAGTCAAATAGCTTTGAAGCAGGTGCCTGCAACGATTTATTCATCCCCACACTCAATAAAACGTCATCCTCGTAGCTGAAAATAAGTGTGCACTTCGCACTCACCAAAAAAGGAAGAAAAGCGATCGAATGTAGAATTGTCGATTAGTACAAAGGGTTAAAGATCGCAGGAGTTTCCTCGCTAAAAGTTGCTATGGTTATTCGGTGACGCAGGGCTGAAACAACTTCTCCTAGGTCCTAACGCGACGAATACCTTTCGCATCGATTCTCAGACATTCCAACGTTCAAACAAAGCTAAGAGAATGCGAAAATATTATGCTAAAACCACTCAAAGTTTTATCGATCCTCGAACAGATCCCGAATCAGAGCATTGGTACGGCGATACGGCTGATGCTGTCTCACAGGTGTTAATATCCAGATGATCCAGAGCGATCTTGCGCAAAAATGGTACAAAGTCTCATTCCTTCATAGTTTCACATTATACCTGCGTCAGCGAGCACGAAAAAGCACGAAATCGTTGGAAAGGAGCTGCACATCACGACTGCCGCGCACCGAACAAACTCGCATCCACCAGCTCTGGGCGCTGCCATCTTACCTGCGACGTCACGGCTCTTGTGAGGTCATGTGACGAGTGGTCACATTTGCGTAAAACATGGCGGCAACCGGGGGGGTGCCACTTCCGAACTTCCGGTTTATCACTCTAAGCCCCTCTACATCATTGGGTTGAACGCATCCCGCACTGCTACCTCGCGCGCGTAAAAAGCATCGAGCAACCGTGGACAAAAAAAAAAAAAAAAAGGAAAGAGCGCCGGGGGCGGCGGTCTTTTGGTTTTGGTTTCGTGCGTCGTCTCGTGTTCGCATTGCAAACTGCTGTCTCACCAATCATGTCGCCTTTACGCGGTTACGAGGCCGATGCAGCAATGCTGCGCATTGCTGCATCGCTTTCGTAAGGCGCCAATCCAGAGTTCTGCGTCCTTAGCAGCATCTCCCGTTCAGTCGGGGTGACGTCGCTGAACGGGAGCTCAAACTCGTTTGCGAGAGCGGCGTTGTCGTCCATTTCTTCCAGGTTTTCTTCACAGACAGCCGTGCTCTAGAGCGAACCACGGGAACCACACTGAGTGTGCACTAAATCCTACCGATGTCGACAGTGCTCCCAGATGTCACTTCTCTTTCCAGAGGCGAAAAAGGGAAGAAACCTGAATGTTTGTTTCGGTTTCGCAAATTTATTTGCAGGTACAGAAATAAGAGTCACAACGTTCTAGAAAAAATTGTGTGGCATGCCAGGACCCCAATACTTCCGAAAACACTTTCTTGTTTAAAAAAAAATTAAATTGCCTTCATGGTCCCTTTAAACAAAGTTGCTAATAAACTCGAGGTCCCCAATATAACACAGAACGATATTAGGTCTGTTCGATTCGGCTAGAAAGTTCTGAACTAGTTCTGTCCGAGTTCAGAGGAGTGCAGGAGTCGTGCAGCGGCGGCGCAGAACCAGTGCAGCCACCGTGTTAGGACTGGCGCTGTGATCGGCTTCCGGAGTACCGATAAAACGGATGCGCAGCACGTCGTCTGCTTTTGCCGTCTGGCTGCGTCGCCATGGAATATTGTCTGCTAGCGCTTGGATATTTGCGTTAGTTTTATATTACTTTTTTTGACAAAAATATTTTCCATGTATGTTAATTTACATTACAAAGTGCGTGCAGCATCTAATGAAACATGTCTGCATTTTATATCGTCTGATTTCGTGCTGCGATCGCTTTCATAGACATTTCATCGACCACGTACCTGGATACCTTCGCGAGATCAAGATGACGATGTCCCGTCAGAATTTACTGGCCGCTGCAGTAGCGCTCATCGAAGACGAGAGCGACGATGAGCTCGACGACATCATCGCCCTCGCCTTGATTGTTTCGGCAAGGACTGACAGGAACAGGGTTCCCCTGTACTACGAAAAGGTGATCGACACCTAATTCGATTTCGAATTTATGCGCTTGTTCAGGCTTTCGAGAGAGACACACGCGGAGCTGGCTGGTCGATATGAAGCTTCGGCGTTTTACCCGGATTCCGTTGGTGGACGACCGCAGATTTCGGCGGAGAAGACATTGCTGATTGTGCTTAGTTACGTAGGCCCAAGAGCCACAATGTATCAGATTGCGGATCGCTTTGACATAACGGAGTCGTCCGTTCACCTCTGCATTGAAAGAGTTCTGAACTTTCTGAACAGTATCAGCGCACAAATAATCACCTGGCCTGACCAGGAAAGACGTCGGAGGAGCGAAGCCGGCTTCCTGAGGAAGGCTAAGGGGAAAGGGCCCCACAAAACGATCGGGGCGATTGATGGATGCCATGTAGAAATCCTGCGACCAACAGAGTCTCCGAACTCCTACTACAATCGGAGCAAGTTTCATTCCATTGTTCTGCAGGGTATCTGCGATGATCAAAATCAATTCATCGACGTCTACATCGGGTTCCCCGGTTCAGCGCACGACGCCCGCATCCTGAAGGAGAGCCCCATCTTCGAGGACGCGGAAGCCAAGTGTGCGGGTGGGTACCTGCTGGGGGATTCGGCTTATCCCCTGCTGCCATACGTCATGACCCCCTTCAAGTCTTCAAAAGCGGCCCTGCCGTCCTGGAAGACTACGTATAACACGAAGCACGGTCAACAGAGAGTGACAATCGAAAATACTTTCGGGCTGCTCAAGCAGCGATTTCGGAGAATGTATTTGGTCGACAGCGCCAGCATCAGACAGTGCTGCCTTGTCGTTATGGGCGCCTGCGTTCTCCACAACCTCTGTAATGCAGAGAGAGACTTTTTCGATGACCTGAACAACGCCCGCCCGCCTGACCAAGTCACCAACGACGACGACCACGCGATCCAACCGGACGACGCCACAAGGAGTCTCTCCGAGCGGATCCGAGAGGCCATTGCTAAGACCGAATGTTAGGAAGCGATATCTACACCTGATCCTCCAAAAATATTATTTTTTTAATTTTGTGTGTGTGTGTGTGTGTGTGTGTGTGTGTGTGTGTGTGTGTGTGTGTGTGTGTGTGTGTGTGTGTGTGTGTGTGTGTGTGTGTGTGTGTGTGTGTGTGTGTGTGTGTGTGTGTGTGTGTGTGTGTGTGTGTGTGTGTGTGTGTGTGTGTGTGTGTGTGTGTGTGTGTGTGTGTGTGTGTGTGTGTGTGTGTGTGTGTGTGTGTGTGTGTGTGTGTGTGTGTGTGTGTGTGTGTGTGTGTGTGTGTGTGTGTGTGTGTGTGTGTGTGTGTGTGTGTGTGTGTGTGTGTGTGTGTGTGTGTGTGTGTGTGTGTGTGTGTGTGTGTGTGTGTGTGTGTGTGTGTGTGTGTGTGTGTGTGTGTGTGTGTGTGTGTGTGTGTGTGTGTGTGTGTGTGTGTGTGTGTGTGTGTGTGTGTGTGTGTGTGTGTGTGTGTGTGTGTGTGTGTGTGTGTGTGTGTGTGTGTGTGTGTGTGTGTGTGTGTGTGTGTGTGTGTGTGTGTGTGTGTGTGTGTGTGTGTGTGTGTGTGTGTGTGTGTGTGTGTGTGTGTGTGTGTGTGTGAACATACAAAGATGGTACTTGAGCTTTCGAAAATGAAGCGTACCGACTTCATGAAAACACGATTAAACAAAGTAACGGGTTACTTCGTTCCTTCATTTCTGCGTACAGTATTATTTTGATCCAATATCCTAGTACGTTCGTATACCAGAATACATATATGCGGGCATGCACAGGTAGTCAGTGCCAGTGACTCCTAAAACGTAACATTGTTCCCAAAGCTATTTTCAACCTAACAATCAACAAAACCTAAAATAAAAAAACAAACAAAAAAACTAGATATGGCGGTAAACAACAATACATGCTGCTTAACTCGGAAATAATTGTAAAAACTAAGAATGAATCAGGCGACTACAGAGGAGTGGCAAACAAAATCAGCAAGACAATTTGAACGAATTTATTCGTACGGCACAATTGTGCACCAGTCAAAATAATAACAAAAGAATAAATAAAACGGCCTGCGAAACAGTGAAACTGTAATCAAGTTCATTGAGGTGCATGAAGCACGTCTACTGTGCCGGCGCGCTCTTTTCGATTGCAGTCACGAGGCGCTCGAGAAGAGCCATCCGGTCCTTATGTCGTTTCTTGCGACTCTCCTCCATGTCGGCGAACACCTCGAGCAGCGAGCCCAGGGCGGTTTCCCTCTTTCTCTTGCTCGGTGTACCGGCCGGAGCACGCTGGTTTGAGGGCGGAGCCACCCCTAAGGCAAGGGAGGAGGGTCCTGCCTCTGTCCCTCGGGAGGTTTCGACCTCGGCGCTGAAACATTTTTTTTTTTTTATGTTACGTTGATTATACGTTTCTTAAGTACTTACCTGGTGTCTCCTTCCTTTTCAAGCACTCTTCCCGGCGCCAACAACACAGTTGGTGAAATATGGTGCTCTTTCTCGAGGATGTCATGAAGCTCGCTAAACCACAGAAACAGCACGTTTACAAGTGATGACCTAGATAAAAAAAATTAGTGAACGTACGTACTCCTCGTATTCAAAATGCACCCTAGATTGGCCCGACTTCTTGTTTTTTGATTTGGCGTTCTTGTACGCTCTCTCCAAGGACTTCCATTTGTTTTCGGCCTGGTGAGCGGTGACAACGCCGCCGAACTCTCCGACGACGGTGTCGGCCAGCTGCTGCCAAAGGGCTCGTTTGGTCCTAAACATGATGTTTACTACGTATTAACATGTATTATAAAATATATCCTGACAAAGACATACCTGAAACCCCCCTTTGCTCTCAGACGCTCTTTTAGTTCCTTATAACAGCCGATAAAGAACTTCGTCTTCGCGGCACTCCACAGCTGCCCGTCGACGTCCATTGCGGGTGGACGCGCAGGCTGCAGGACAGTTGGGTCTGCGTCCGGCTCAGAGGCAAAGACGAACGTAACTCGTTCTCCGTCTTAAAGAATAGAATGCGAACATTGTAAACATCGATGTATAATCGCGAGGTGAATGACTGGCTTAAGCAAGTCATTCACGAAACTTAAGCAAGGCTGAGTAAGCAAGCCGACGCAGCCCTCTTACGATTTTTAACGTATTTAATTCGAGCTTATTCCTACCTTCGGTAACGTACACCATCCCGCTTCCGTCCACTACGGGTACACCATTTTCGTCCACAAGTGGGAAGACTTCCGTTCCTACATTGTTGTGTATAACAAACATGCTTTAATGACCGAGCACACCGAGCAAGAAAGAGAAGAGTCGTCTGCTTTCGTCGTCTGCTTTCGTCGTCTGCTACTGCACGAACGCTGAACTGACTTCGGAGCCGGTGCAAGCATTTCCGGAACTGGGACTGAACTCGTTCAGAACTAGGATGAATCGAACGCGCCAGTGCAGCGGTCGTGCAATTTCCGGTCGAATCGAATGCGCCAGTTTTGCACTGCTGAACTAGTTCAGCCAGTTCAGGCGAATCGAACAGACCTAATGTTTCTGCTCACAGGCTGCCCGCGAGGCGGGGTAACGTCCCCGGAATCATTGTTCATTTTACCAGGCAACAGGACCGAGACGCGTGGCTAAAGAAAAGAAATACCCTAAAGAACAGTATGCGCCGTATTTTTATACAAGAAAACCTGACAAGGCCCAACAGGAAGTCTCTTTAAAAGCGAAAGTTTGGGCAAAAGAAAAAGGATATGCGTTCGCATTTTACACAGGCGGAAAGGTACTTGTGTGAAAAATTAGTGGGGCTCGAGCGATTCATATCAAAAACGAAGGCGACATTGCCCATCTTTAGATAAGCTATACAGGAAGGAAAGCTACTTCCATGACTGGACGCCTTGAGTCTCAGCCCTAAGTTGCTATCGCTCCGCTTGGCTTTGCACGCGATATTGCATCAAGCAACCCGTTTCTTTATCTTTTGTTCACTTGAAAGTTCGGTCAGCCAAAGAAAAAGGTCACAATCTGCATCTATTGTTTGATCGTCCTGGTCTTTCTTTCTCGGTTATTATGTTTTCGGAAACCTGGTATACTGATGAGCCTTGCATTTTTACTTTGCCGGGATATCAGCCTTATTCACTTCGCCGAGATAAGAAAAGAGGTGGTGGTGTTTCATTGCGTCTACAAAATGACTACAAATGCGAACTCGTATCAGAATTTACTCACGTTACGGGTGATGTTGAGTTTTTGTGTTTGTGCTCAGGCACATATAAATTTGATGTGGTATATCGTCCACCATCTGGAATCGGGGTGAATAATTTATTTAACGTTCTTGATGGCTTCCTAAACTTTGTAGTATTAAAGAAGTACACACTTTCTCTTGGCGGAGATTTCAACATTAACATGCTTGAAAATGCAACTTATAGGCAAGCACTTGATTCAGTCACTGCCCTTAGTGGTTTTAAAATTAGAGCAACAGGAGCAAGAAGAATTACATGTACTACGTCCACACTCACTGATTTTTTTTAGGCATCCTTGACGCGTCCTTCATCACCACTAACGCTGTTAGTACCGATATCAGTGATCATCTGGCGATATTTATGTTGATACACGAACCTCATAAACCTAAGAAACGATCAGCGCAGCGTAATTTTCAAATTCAAAACATAACGAACACTACTCTAGAAAACTTTAAAGCTTCGTTAAGCGTAACTGACTGAGAACAAGTATATTTGAAAACAAACGCAAACCTCGAGTACGAAACCTTTCTACCGACATTTCGAAATCTGTACAAGGAGAGTTTCCCATAGAGGACGGTTGAGCAGCGTAAAAGAATTCGCAAGCCTTAAATGGCAAGGGAGCTTTTGAATAATATAGATGAAAAAAAAAGATTCTGTTTCAGCATTTCTTGAAAACAAGAAACCCTGATGATTTAATGGCTTTAAGATGTATCAAAATAAACTTGTTAAACTACTGATATGTTCAAATTCCAGTTATTATATAAGCCTCTTCCAAAAAATGATAATGAAGAGGCAGGAATACTCTCGAAAACAATGAATAGCGTAATTAGTCCGTGTACGAATGAACATAATTTAGGTGAAGTAACCTTCGCAGAGGGTACTCTCTCTGGGTGTTCTCTGTCGAATGCTTTTAATAATTACTTAGAAAGCAAAGCAGATAACGTTGCGGTGCTGGAAATTGAACTTGGCCCTTGTGGTTATATAAAACGTTATTTTACAAATACTTTCTTTTTATATCCGACAGATGAAAAAGAGGTCTGTGCCGTGTTCAGGAACTTAAGAAATTCCAAAAGTCGCGACGTTAACGCCTTTGACTCCAAAGTAATCAAGTATGCAATTAAGATAATGGCGCCTGTTTTAACGTATATATTTAACGTGTCACGTTCAACTGGTTGCTTTTCAAACGCTCTTCAGGTTGCGAAAGTTCTGCTTATATTCAAAGGCGTCGATAAGAACACATCTAAAAATTATAGACCGATTTCCTTGTTATCAATCTTTTCTAAGGGCCTTGAAAAAATAATGCATCACAGATTTTCTTGTTATCTAGAAAAAAATCACATACTCTGCGATTTTCAACACGGTTTTAGGAAGAAGCGTTTATCTGAAACAGAGCTGTTAATGCAAAAAGAAAAAAATACTAAAATCTATCGAGGATCGAGAGCTTATTCTAGGCACGTATGTTGACTTTTCTAATGCATTTGATTTAAATAATCATAACATATTAATTAAAACGTTAGAGCAATATGGCCTCCGAGGAATTGGATTTAAACGATTTAAATCACATTTCAAATATCGTACGCAGTTTGTTTTGCGTAAATAATTATAGTTCAGCAACCAAAATAATTGTGTCTGTAGTCCCCCATGGGAGTGTACTTGGGCCGCTCTTGTTTATATTATTTATAAACTTTATTCAACAATGCCCACCAAACGTCATGTTCATTTCATATGCAAATGGTACCACTCTTTCTATTAAACGTGAAACAACTTCTGAGAGCGAAAGTACGGCGGCAGTTGTTCTTCAAAATCTATACTTATGGACGCAAGTTAATGGACTAAAAATAAACAGACAAAACTAAATGCATTCTGTTTAAACCGAGGAATCTTAAAAAGTCGTTGCTGTTAAATATCACGATGAATTCATGTCCCTTAGAGATTGCAAAAGCAGTTAAAATTCTTGGTGTCATTTTTATCGAATCACTCTCTTGGACTGAACACGTTGAGTATATCCACCGTAAAGTTATCAAAGCCATAGGAATAATATCTAACACTCGTTTTATGTTTCTCACGCGAGTGAAGTTGCTCTTGTATTGCTCTCTGATCTACACAAATAACGTGTACTCTCGCCTGGTTTGCGGAAACCACAACCAAAGAAAACTTAAGAACACTGCTACTAACACAGAAGAAAGAATTTTGCATAATTGAAAATGATTTTTTTGCCTTCTTCTGAGAAGCTATTTTGTAAACATAACGCTGTGACAATTAATGATTTGTACAACTATCGTTTGATGGGAGTCTACAATACGGCAGTAAAACAAAATAAACACTTTTTTTTTTCTGTACTGTCGGGCTTGGAGAGAAAACCCAGACGTATGAAATTAGACACAGCTAGGGCCCTGGCGTGTTACTACTTCCCGCATAAACTATGAACTAACTTCTTTAAAACATCCACTACCGTCGCTTTTAAATGAGCTGGAAGGTGAAAATATTGAAATTACTAAAAAAATCAAAGCATATGCTACGCGACATGCTATTGGAAAACAGTGATAACGACTTATTTGTAGACAATCGATGCAACAAGGTGTAGTACCTCTTTTTTTGCTTGTCCTGTTTGAAATGTCTCTGCTACTTTGCTACACGGGGTAGGGCCTCGTCAAGCTCCAAACCATCCAGATTTTTGCCCTATCTTCCTCCTTTGTATATAAAAAAGTACACATTATTTATTTATTTGTTTGAAACGTCATTTAGTCACAAGTCTTGATGGAATTAAAACCATGTGATTCAGGGATTAAACGCTGCCCTAGCTATTTTATTTAAAAGATCTCTCCTCAAAAAGGCTTCCACCTGAGTACAAGGCAGCCAACGCTGTTCAGGAAGGGATTGACGAGATGTTTCTAAACGGAGGCTAATGTCTCTGAACAGAGCTCTTTTTAAATTTCTTGAACGCATACATACAAATATTTATAGCCACCTTGAGTTAAATAACATCTATACCCCTTACGATCATGGATTACGTTGTGGATTCCGATGCAGCAAACTGCCAGTAAAATTTGCACATGACATTCCGTTTTCATTAAACGCAAATATACAGGCCAACCCTCTTTTTTATTATCCGAAAGCATTTTAAAAAGAACTCAATTGACTTCTATACGCTCACATCGCATGTTTTGCTTTCTTTGACAACCTCGAAGAATATATCGATTCGTAATTATCTTAGCGCACCCAAGGTGTAGTTGTTAATAGTGTCAATTCACCGTGTGCGGCGGTTCCGTGAGGCGTCCTCCAAGGGTCTGTACCTGTATCCTTTGTCTACTTGTTTTATATTAATGATTTAACTCAGCTCACAACATCAAACATCCGTTTATAAGCGGATGATTGTGTCATATATCATACTGCAAAAAACGATAATGAACGTTTTTAACTTCAGACTGACCTCGAAACTGAAATGTCATTGTGGAATACTTAAAGTTAAGAAATCCATTTATATTCGACTGCAAGTTGGGCTAGATGGTTGTACAATCTCAAAGTAAAAGGCCTGAAGACAGGGAAGAAGATGAACACGGGCATTTGTGGCTACTCTCCCTGATGCCGCGACTATAATACATCGGTTATTGTTTAGTATTTTTCCAATTAAGAATTTGGTGCGTGCATCTCTTTTCATATAGATTCCTCTTTTCCTTGAGTGACTGCTATAATTATTTTCCTATGGGGT